TTGGCCAAGTGTCAATACGTAACAATAGTCCCCCAAGTCCAAGAATGGTCATTTATGTAATGCGTGGACTTTTAAATTTTTGTACCTCAAACTAATAGACCCCCAAGTCCAAGTATAGATATTTATATCATGGTTGGAGTTGAAAATGGTGGTGTTGCTGTGATTAGGGAAGGTGATGAAGTCCCAAACCTGCCGAGGCTTGAGAAGATGTGGCTGAACTGCGAAGAAGTAGATATGAAGCCGAGGCTGTGAAGTGGATCGAACATGCTAAGGCGCAAGATGTGCTGAACTGTGTAGAAGTAGATGTGAAGCCGAGGCTGTAAAGTGGATCGAACATGTCGAGGCTTGCTAAGATGTGCTGAACTACGTAGAAGCAGATGTAAACCAGAGGCTGTGAAGTGAATCGAACATGCTAAGGTGCAAGATGTTCTGAATTGCATAGAAGTGGATTGAATATGTCAAGGCTTGCTAAGATGGGGCTGAACTACGAAGAAGCAGATGTGAGACCGAGGCTGTGAAGTGGATCGAACATGCCGAGGTTTGCTAAGATGTGCTGAACTGCGTAAAAGCAGATGTGAAGTCGAGGCTGTGAAGTGGATCGAACATGCCAAGGCTTGCTAAGATGTGCTGAAGTGGATGGAACATGCCGAGGTTTGCGAAGAGATGATTGTCTTCAATGTTTGTGCGAATGATTTGATGTTTTGTGCATGTTACCAAGAAAAGACAGCCGAACCGTTTCGACTTCTAAGGCACGTACGGATGCTGCATTGAATGTGCAATGATGGCTACAGCTGGAGCTTCCAAAAAGAGACGCATTTGGAGGGGTGCATGGGAAGCATGCTTGGATCAGAGGCATTGATTTTGAAAACGATTTGAATTCTACGCCTCGGATTCAATCTGCAATGAAGGGCCCAGATTTGATGAGCCTTGATCTAATGGAAGGTGTTTGACCTGAGCTTGTATAAAAGGTAGGAGACTCCCATTTTGTAACCTTTCTAACTCTGCAATTCTGTGTTTGTTGACAATATCGTATTCAGGCATTGAACATTCGCTTCGTTTCCATTTTTCGACATCCCTCAGTGTCCTTAGTCGATTGCATAGGTATTTCTTGCGAGAATTTGTTTTGTGATCTCCGTTCATTTTCCAAATTTATTCTGATATGGAGTCCACTTTGGATAGGGGATAGTCACTGTCGCATCGTTTGGGGAGGGGTCAGTTTGTAGGGAGGACTCCAAGGTCGAACAGTAAACTATGACCGAGGAGCCCGTAAATTACAAGGAGGAGTGGGGTGCATCCAGGATACCTTCAAATATAACCCAGAAGAGGTTAGGGAGATAAGGGAAAGGTATTGCGTCCCTCATAACATAGAAATATTAATCCCCGATGTTGATGAACGGGCTTGCTATCCGAGGTTCGGATGTGTCGCTGTCAGTGAATACTTGTTTAAGGAGGGTATGCGTCTTCCTCTGTATCCCTTCTTTAGGGCAGTGCTAAGGAATTTTATGTTGTCGCCGATCCAGGTTCTGTCGAATGGGTAGAGCGAGTTGGTGGGGTCCTACTTCTGGTGGAAGTAAGTGTCGATGGGGGAGGATATGCCTTTGCATGTCTTCCAGACCCTCTTCTAGCCCAAAATCTTGGGCAAAGATGAGTCGAAGGGGTGGTACTACATTACTCCTTAGGGATCGCACGCCCCTTTTGTGGTAGGATTGCCTTCTTCCATCAAGGGGTGGAAGAAGTCGTGGTTCTGGGCAACTAGCAGGCAGTAGTTGGGGACAAAACCTTGGCTTGCACGTTACCAACCCAATACTATGAAGCTCGTGAGTCCCCCAGCCTAAGCTATTTTATATTCTGCTGAGCTTTCTGGAATTTGTTTTTTGCTAACTATTGTTACATTTTGTAGACTCGAGAACGAGGTACCAGCTCCAGGAAGTAGAGTTTCACATTATAGAGGACATTTACAAGCGTCCTTTGAAGTTTTGCCACTTCGATCATCTCATCGATCGAAGCCGTTATTTCCTTAACTTCAGACTTATGGCTTCCAAGGGTAAGAAGTGCCTGTGCTTTGTGATGGAAAAGTTTTCTTATTGATGTCAACTTCTGATCTGTTCCTTTGTGTTGCAGATAAGTTCAGGAGGAGAGAGTACCCTACCCCCGACATGGACACTATAATGAAGGCCACCACTACTATTGGGGCCCGGCCTCTGAAACCCGGTTCAAGTGGGGCTAAAGAGGTGAGAGGCAAGGTGGAGCACCTCTCCAAAGTCAATACCTCTCAGGCTGTCAAGGAGGAGGCTCCAAGGAAAGAGAAAGACATTGAGCCTTGGGGAAAAGAGAAAGCCCCTGAGGACTCCCAGAAGAAGAGAAGGTTGGTCCACCTCACCAGTTCTTCAGGAAAGTTTGGGACTTCCATTTCCCAAATCAACAAGGACTCCTGACCACCAAAGCTCATGGACTCTGCCATGAATGCAGTAAAGGTACAGATGATTCGAAAAGCTGAGGAGAGGAGGCGGCTGAAGAGACAACGAGGTTGGCTGCATTAAAGGCAGAAGAAGAGGTTACGCGGCAGAAACCCATAAAGACCCAGGGAAAACCTCCTAACTTCCTAGCTGGGTATGAAGAACAGCTTGCCCCTGCTTTGTTGGAGGCTCTTCCTGAAGAGGTCTGGGGTGCTGCAGTCAGTTTTTACAAATTATGGACTGATATGTGGGTGCTGCACGCCTCGTCCTGCAACACTGTTGACCTCTCAAGGGCCCCAGTGACCCAAAGCATGAGGACATTTGGCCTCGCTTTGGAGTGTAGGGAGGTCCTTATTGACTTCCAAGCGAGGATCATGTCCCCAGAAAAGAAGCTAGCCTCTGCTGAGGAGGAGTTGAAGAGGTTGAGGGCCGAGGCAGAAGAGACTAAGGCTTAAAAAGTTGAAGACGCTACCAAGTTGGAATCTGCCTTGGCCCAAATAGAGGCCTTGAAGAAGAAGGCATATGAGTCTCAGTGTGAGGTGACCTCCTTCACTAAAAAGGTGGAGACGTCAAATAATCATCAGAAGGTCACTGTTGAGGCCCTGGAAAGAGCAAACCTTGAGCTTGCTGGGGCCAAAGATGCATACAACTTTCTGAATGACCAAATAAAATGGCATGTTGATTAACTAGCCAAGGTGAGAGAGGCAGCCAAGGTGGCGGGGAATGAGGCAGTAAAAGAGTTCATTGCCAATTTCCACAACACCGAGGAGTACCGGAGCTTCAACGCATACTGGAGGAACTTCGGCTACGCTGAGGTGATGGAGAGGGTTGAGGAACTTTACCCAGGCTACGACCTGTCTCAACTTAAGTTTGAGTTTGTGGATGAGGTACCTCAAACCCCAGCCAAGGAAGCAGTAGGGGAAAAAACAGCTGAAAAGACTGAAGAGGGGCCTGACCCTCAAGTTGCTGAAGCTCCTGCTGCAGAGGCGCTCCCTCCATCATCCGAAGCTTAGTGTAGGATTCCTTTTTTAGTTTCTATCAATGTACTGGTCTTGAGCCCACCTGTTGTAACGTTCTCAATATTAATGATGTCATGTTTTACAAAGTTTTGCTTTCTTTTTACTATCAAGTGCATGCAGATCGGTAAATAATCAAGCATAAGTTTGAATTAACAATTCGAACTCGACATCGCTAACAATCAAGCCATATAAATTATGACTTAATGGGTTGTACTTAGGCTCCATCACTTTGAGATAAACCACGATATCCAAATTGCACGTAGATTATTTGACTCAATCTTTCCATTGAGTTCAAATGGTGGATGAGATATGCATGTCGAGGCATGTGGAGTGAGCTTCGGCATTCAGCCGAAGTGACCCCAGAGTTGGGTATTTGGACTTCTCCTCCAAGGCTCGCACGCTTTCCTACATGGTGGATAGTGCAGCCATGTAGAGGCTTCTCCCATTGACGTTAAGCCTTGCCAAAGGAAGGCATGTGGAGTGAGCCTCGGAGTCCACACAAAGTGACCCCAGAGTTGGGGGTCTGGACCTCTCCTCCGAGGCTCCTACGCTTCCCTACATGGTAGGTGGTTCGGCCATGTAGAGGCTTCTCCCATTGGTGTTCCGCCTCACCAAAGGAAGGCACGTGGAGTGAGCCTTGGAGTCCAAGCGAGGTGATCCCAGAGTTGGGGGTCTGGACCTCTCTTTTGAGGCTTCCATGCTTCCCTACATGGTGGATGGTGCAGACATGTAGAGGCTTCTCACATTAGCGTTCAGCCTCGCCAAAGGAAGGCATGTTGAGTAAGCCTCAGAGTTCAGGCAAAGTGACCCCAGAGCTGGGGGTCTGGACCTCTCCTCCAAGGTTCTCACACTTCCCTACATGGTGGATGGTGCAGCCATGTAGAGGCTTCTCCCATTGTCGTTCAGCCTCGCTAAAGAAAGGTTTGTCGAGTGAGCCTCAGAGTCCAGGCAAGGTGATCCCAGAGTTGGAGGTCTAGACCTCTCCTCCGAGGCTCCTATGCTTCGAGAGTTCTATCTAAATTTAATGACATTTTATTGAAGCTGAAACGGTTACATAAGCTGGGAAAAATCCTCCAGCGATGTGGTACATTCATTGGTAGTAAATTCTGAGATGCTCAATGTTCCATAAACGAAGCTGTGCCTTGCCCTCCATGTCTTCGATTCTGTAGGTGTCGAGTCGGAGTTCCTCTTTAACTCTGTAAGGGCCCTCCCAGTTTGAGCCCATGGTACCTTCTCCAGGTCCTTTGGAGGAGAGGAAGACGCTCCTAAGGACCAGGTCATTAATTCGTATGGACCTTTTGTTCACCTTAGAATTGAAGTATTTGGTCATTTTCTTTTAGTAAGCAGCGAGCCTCAGCTGGGAGTTATCCCTTCTTTCAGCAATGAAGTCAAGGTTAAACCTTCGTAGCTCACCATTAGATATTTTGTTGAAGTGCAGACGACGCGGTGATGGTAAGCCGACCTCGACTGGGCTCATGGCTTCAGTTCCATATGCCATGAGGAAAGGAGTCTCTCCCATGGGGGTTCAATTGGTAATTCGGATTGCCCAGAGAACTTGAGGCAGCTCATCAACCCAGGCTCCCTTTGATGCATCCAGTTTCCTTTTGAGAAGATGTTTGATCGTCTTGTTTACAGCTTCAACTTGGCCATTGGCTTGGGGATGATGACATGTTGAGAAGTGCTTCTTGATTCCAAGTTCTTCGCATAGGTTCCTGACCTTTTTATTGTTGAACTTCCTTCCATTGTCTGAAACTATAGAGTGGAAAATTCCGAATCGGCATATAGTATTCTTCCAAAAGAACTTGGAGGTGTTTACTTCCATGATTTTTGCTAGTGGTTCGACCTCAACCCACTTCGTGAAGTAGTTAATAGCCACAATGACGAAGTTCGCACCCTTTTTTAAGGTGGGCCAATAGTACACTTGCCTTAGTACCTTTTGTGCCAAGGCTATTCTTCGTGAATGATTGCCACAAACACCTTTGTGGATTTCCTTCAGAATGTAAGTGGCATCGTCTCCCCCCACACAGCGAATAAGTAGAGAGTAGAAGCTTCCTTTGTATAGCACGTCATCAACAAAGAGGAAATGAGTAGACCTCCTTCTTAGCTTGTAGGCCTCATATTTGTCAGTAGGCAGGACTTGGTCCTTTAGGTAGGCTATGATTTGTTGCATCCAGGTAGGGGTTCCTGTAGCCCACATCCACTCAGAGGCCTCGATAGATGGCATGAGGAGGTGCTCAATTGGTACTATAGCAAGTAGTTCAAAATCTCTGCTGCTCGTGAGTTTGGAGAGAGCATCTGCATGTGCGTTCTTGAGGCGAAAGATCTTCATTTTTTCGAATTTTTCAAAAAATGGGAGGAGGTTCATCACCATCTTCAAGTAGGAGGCCATGGTTTTATCTTTAGCTGAAAAACTGCCGTTCACTTGGCTCACAACTAGCTGGGAGTCACTGTTGATATGCAGCCTTCTTACTTGCATTTCTTTGGCTAATCTGAGGCCTGCAAGGAGCGCCTTATACTCAGCAGCATTGTTTGTGGCCTTAAATTCGAATCTCATGACTAAGTTCAGCTTGTGACCTTCTGGGTTGACAAGGACTACCCCTATTCCCAAACCTATGTCTCCAACCGAGCCATCTACGAACAAGTTCCGCGTGGGGGGCTCAACAGATTCCATAACCTCTTCCATCTCGGGTGCATTGGTAAACTCTGCTACAAAATCAACTAAGGCTCGGCCCTTGATGGCTACCCTTATCTTAAAGACAATGTCGAATTCACATAACTTAACTGCCCATTTCAGCAGTCTTCCCGAGGCATCCGACTTCTGTAGTACTTGCCTCAAAGGAAAGTTGGTCAAAACGTGAATGTTGTGTGCTTGGAAGTAGGGCCTCAGCTTCCTAGAGGTTGTGATCAAAGCTAAGGCGAGCTTCACCATATTGGGATAGCGAGTTTTTGAAGATAAGAGCGCCTTGCTGGTGTAATATACGAAAAGTTGGGTGGTTCCTTCTTCTCTGGTTTGGACCACACTGATGGACTCATTGGAGACGGCCATGTATAGTTGAAGGATATCGTGGGGCTTTGGCTTGGAGAGGAGGGGGCCTACCCTAGATGCCTTTTCAAGCCCTGAAAGGCTTTTTCACATTCCTCATTCCATTTGAATTTCTTCCCAGCTTTCAATACCTTGAAGAACGGGAGGCATTTATCGGTAGCCTTAGAGACAAAATGGCTAAGGGCTGCCACCCGTCCCATCAGGCTTTGGACTTCCTTGGGTTTTTAGGGTGATCTCATCTTGAGTAAGGCATTGATCTTTTCAGGGTTGGCTTCAATTCCTCTTTAGTTAACCATGTACCCCAGGAACTTGCCAGAGGCAAAGCCAAAAGCGTACTTGAGGAGGTTGAGCTTCATCCTGCACCTCCTGAGGATTTGGAAAGTGTTATCCAAGTACATCACATGGTCGTCTGCCTTCAAGCTTTTCACAAGCATATCGTTAACGTAGACTTCTATTGTCTTACTGATGAGGTCTACAAATATTTTGTTGACAAGCCTTTGATAGGTGGCCCCGACGTTTTTCAACCCAAAGGGCATCATCTTGTAGCAGTAAAGGCATCTGTCAGTGATAAAGGAGGTGTTCTCCTCATTGGACGGGCACATGGTTATTTGGTTGTAGTCAGAGTAGGTATCCATGAAGCTTAGGAGCTCATGCCCGGCGGTAGAGTCTACCAATTGATCAATTCTCGGAAGTGAGAAGCTGTCTTTGGGGCATGCCTTGTTGAGATTGGTAAAGTCAATGCATACCCTCCACTTACCGTTGTGCTTTTTAACTAGCACCGAGTTGGAGACCCACTTCGGGTAGATGGCCTCTCTGATGAAGCCATTATCGATTAGCTTCTCTACTTCTTCCTTGAGAGCCTCATATCTTTCTGGGTTGAGAGCTCTTCTCTTTTGTCGGTACGGGGCAACCTTAGGATCTATTTTTAGGTGGTGGCAGCTAATCATGGGGTCTATGCCCACCATGTCCTCATGCCTCCAAGAAAAGACGTCAAGGTTCTTGCAGAGAAAGTCTTTCGATTTTTCTTTCATGTCGTTGTTCAGGCCTACACCCACATTCAACACCTTCGTGTGGTTGCGGGGGTAGACCGAGAAGCTTTCTAGTTCCTCAACCAGAGTTGCTTGGGGTTCGTGCTCAATCACACGGGGATCGATCTCATCGATCATGGAGAGTTCTTTCTGCTCGAGAGGTACGTCGATCATGTCAACATCCTCCTGTTCAAGAGGGGCCTCACTTGGGACGTTTTCCATGTCCACATCAGTCAAGATGACATGTACGTCTTGGGGCTCCACCTTTCTGATGGAGCTCAAGTAGCACTCCCTGGATCCTCTTTGGTCACCTTTCATTGTTATTACCCTGTTCTCAGTTGGGAGCTTCATGCATAAGTGGTGGATGGAAGTGACTGCTCCCAACTCCTTCAGGACTGGTCTACCCAAGACTTCATGGTAGGCCGATCGACTGTCTAAAATAAGGAATTCTATGAAATTCATGATGGTTTGGGGAGACTCTCCCATCTCTACCGCCAATGTTATCTTTCCTCTCGGAGTGATACTATCTCCGGTAAATCCATATAGAGAAGTAGTGGTGGGCGTCAGCTCGTGGTCCAGGATCATCTTGTCAAAGATGGACCTGAACAGGATGTTAACGGAGCTGCCATTATCTACTAGCATTCACTTAAATACATTTCGGGCCACAACGACCCTTACCACAAGTGCATCACAATGGGGGTAGTGAACCCCTTCGGAGTCCTCTTGGGTGAAGATGATGGGTGATATATGGATTCTTCGGGAGCTACTGTCCACGATATAACTGGTCAGTGGGAGGCGTTTGGCCTCTGGGGCGTAATTTTGCTTTGCATTCTGAGTCTCCCCTCCCACATAGGGGCCTCCAAATATGGTGTCTATTTCATGAATAGGGGCTTCTCTCGTGCATGGCGATTCCCCCGATGCCTATGTCCTTCCCTATTCACGATATGTTCCCTTCGGCGGAGGGAGACATCTTGCTGGCGGGGAGCGACCTCCTCACGCCTAGGTCTCTAGTCGTTCCTAGGCGGGGTCTGTTCACCTGGGGTGAATCATTCCTCTTGTCTTGGGAATTTTCCCGTCTGTTATGGTGTGCGTACTCTCGACACTCCAACGTGTCATGACCGTAAGAGTAGTGGTATGTACAATAATCGGGGGGTTCTAATTAGGCCTATTCCTAGGTCCTGAATCGCGCCCCCGACCTCTTCCACTACGGGGGGCCTGTTGTGAAGTTCTTGTTTGTGGGTCGATAGTTGGATTGACGTCTTCATATACTAAAGTTGGAACTGCATTCAAAGTGGTTGTGCCAAGTGCTTGCCCTGAATTTTCATTACCGGGTGGGTTCATCTAGTAGTGCATCAGGTGGGAGGTCAGTCCCCTGGCGCACTGTCTTTGTTGAGGTGGGAGGCCTCTGCTGGCCCGATTCCAGTGCTCAATTAATTCTTCATTAATAATCTCCCACCTCATCATTTTCAACAGGGCATCGTAGGTGGTGGGATCTTGGTTTTGCACATCCCTTCAGAGCAGGATGTTTATATTCAAACCTCTTCTTAGGGCTGGCAAAGCTTCATGATCGATAACTTGCACGCAATACGTCATTTCATTGGTAAGGCGTGATAAGAAGGTCTTCAGGGATTCCCCATGTGCCTGCCTCATGTCTTGAAGGCGCTGGATGGGGGCATCTCCCTCCTTGCTCACCGCAAACCTCTTTAGGAAAGTAGTCTTGAATTCTGGTCAACTCCTTATGCTCCCGGGCGGTAGTCGACTATACCAGATTTCAGCCGCTTTACTAAGTGTTAAATGAAAATCTCTACACTTCACAACTGGGATGGCACCTCTACAGTTCATATGAGTTTTATAAGCGCTTAGGTATTTTTCGGGTCGCCTCTCCCATCATACTTTGGTATCTTGGGCATCACATAGTTGCTCGGAACCTGGGCACTTCTTAGTTCCCTTGAGAATGGCAAATTTTTATCGTTGTCGTCCAAGTCACAAGACCTCTACTACTCATCTGAGTCATTATCTTCCTTGGCTTCATACTTGGGTATTTGATGAGAGGGTCCAGCTTGGGTCCTAGCCTCATCTTCCCTTATTTAGCACCTATTTCTAGGCGGAGCAGCACGGGGGAGGGGGGGAGGGGAGCATTCTCATGCCTTTCCTCCAGCTAATGAGACAATGGAGGTGAGGGCTGTGGTCTATTCCGAGGCTTGCGTTGTTGTTGTTGTTGTTGTTGCCTGTGCTTCAATCCTGCGGGGCTAATTCTGACAAAGACACTGTTAGACCTCCTAGGTCTTTGTTCTGGCTCATATGTTGGTAAATAGTTGTCCTGGTTATACCTAGCCTTGGTGGGCCGGCCAACAACATAATTGGAGGAAACATTAACTTCTACTTATCTCTCCATGGGGCTCCTATCTCGGTTGTATTCTGTCAGTACAGCCCTTTGGCTTTGAACTTTCTCATCCTGGTCGTAATGTTCCTGGAGTGCATAGGGAGGAATGGGGAAGCCTCCCTGGCTCTACATTTGGGCCATAAGTTCTCTCATGGCCATGTTTTGACTAACAATATCCCTCATGTTTGCGGCCATGGTGGCTATTTCCCTTGACAATTGAGCGGCCATCCGTATGCCACCTCTTCTGTGATGGTGGTAAGGCCGATGCCAAGCTGCAGGGGCAGCTTTCGGTGGCATTCCCATATTTTCTCTTACCCTCCTAGGGGGTACATCCTCGTCTAAACTCATTCTCTTCTGTTCCGATCTCAAATTGTTGCTAAGTTGTGGGGCTTCTACTTGTTCTTTTACAAGACAAATCATTTTTTAAGGGAGATGCCCAAATATTCTTTTCGATAAGTTTCTTCCACACGGTTGCTAGTGGTTACAGTATGGTTTTCCACAGACGGTGTCAATTTGTTAACCCCTAAAAATGTTGCCAACAGATGTCGGACCCACCCGCACACGTAAACGAAAGTCCAACATGCAAAGACATGTGGACGGTCTAAAATGAACAGATTAAGGGCGCGGGAGTAGTTCAATGGTGCGGAACGAAAACGTTCATAATCCAACAAGATGTTCATAGATCGATTGTACAATAATTACCAATCGATGTTTGTAAATGTGTATGCAAAAATGTGTAAACTCGTATTGTATTGCAATATAATAAGAGAGAGTTGAGTAAAGTATTGTTCCTTGTATTGATTTTTGCATTACGCTTGTGAGAGATACATGGGGAGTATTTATATTATTACTACTTAGATCGTGGCTCTTGGTTGGGAGTACACGTGACCTCATCTCGTAAGTTTACATGTCCAATTATAGGTGTCACATTTGACTTCCTAACCTGCTACACATTAATTAATCGATGGCTCTGCCACTATGTTGATAAGACAAGGCACTTGTACTTTACAATGGGTGTCCCATCAATCACTCAGGAATGATCCTTGTGTAAGACCAAATTTCTGGAGAGGGGTACTGCTTAGAGTCTCAAGACCTCGGGAAGAGATTGGGCTTCAGAAGGAAGGACCTCGGCTACAAGGTCACTTCGGCATATTAGCTTCGGTATCAGTACCTCTTGCATAGGCCTTGGAGCCTCGGATAAGATGTCACGTGGGTCGAAAGATATGGGCCATGGGGCCAGTGGGTCAACCAAGTGTCAATACGTAACACATACGATGAAGGCATACTCAAATTCCCAAAACATTCTTCCATAATCTGTTCATGTTTATGTTTTTATTCTTAGCCGCTACCTTACCTCGCTTGTAAATTTGTATAAATACATCCTCCTATTTAAATAAAAGAAAAATAAAAAATAAATTACAATTATACTTTCAATTTTTTCAAAACGGTACAATTAAGTCTCTAATAATTAAATTAAAAAATCAAAAAAGAAAAGAAAAAGCATCTCTTCTTCCCTCTCCCTCTCCCACCCTAGGAAAGCCATCCCATCAAACCCTCCGCCGCCACCACCTCGGCCACCATTTTCTTCCCCAAAATCCCTCCCATTTTACTTCAACAAACAAGAAAAAAATGCGCACAATATCGGAAATTCAAGTTTTCACGGTTTTATAGAACGATTTTATTCTCAATAATACAATGAAATTCTCACAATTTATAAATGTGTCATATGTGCAAAACCCATATCAATTTTGGCAAAATCCACAGCCACCACCACGCCTCCATTTTCTCATTGAACATGTGAAGATTGCTTTACTCTACTTACTCTACCTTTATTGCTGCAGTTTATATTTGTTTAATCGGTCTTATGATTTGGATTCCCCTAGATTATATCTTCCATATATATGAACATCATAGTCGAGGGGTTTGATTAATTATCTATTTGACCGTTGGCTTTTGATTTCTTGAATATAAGCACGATTTTTTATAATTTTAGTTCTGGGTCTTGGATTTCTTGTTGAATTCTCTAATTCCACCTTAATTTCTGAGTTTAGATAAGATCCCAGAATTATTGAGGGATTTTCTGAAATGGGTTTTACGATTATAATTAGTTAAGGATTTTGATGTATGACATATTGGGAAAAAAATGCTCATAGAAATAGAAAATTCAAATTTCGGATTGGGCCCATAAAATCATTCTGGAAAGAGAACGATGAGAGGAACAATACTCACCATTGTACGATGAATTTCAACCATTCGAGTTCGTTTAGTACTCGAAAACTGATTTTTAAAGTTTTGGCGCTATTTTTGTCAATTCGTTTATTTTGGTTTTTTTTGTAATTTTAGTTTGTTTAAACTTTATTTTCATTACTTTTAGTTGTTTTAAACTACAATTTCTTGTAAACCCTTATAAGGGTTAGTTCCTTTTTTTATTATCATTCATTAATAAAATTCGTGAAGTTTATTTTCTCCTTAATTTTGTGGATTTCAAATTTCGTGATCTCAAGGTTTTCGCTTGAATTCCTTTTTTTCGCTGCATCAAGTGGCATCACATCCGACTTTCTCGTCTCTATATCTTTGATTCATAAACATGGGTGACATACCAGTTACTAGGGTAGATTTAGATGCAACAAATCGACGGCTTGATGAACGGATTGACAATCTCACCGCTCAGATTGAAGAAATTCGTCAATTGCTTCTACGAGGTACTGCAAACAATGGGCAGAGTAAACAGCATGCAATCAACAATGAACGGATGGCTGAGCCTGCAGTTCATAGAGAAAATAATAGGAGGCGTGCTGTAGAAGATAGTGAATCAGAGTCGAAGGAGGAGTTCAAATTACTACCACACCATCCTAATTATCAAAATGATGATTATCGAATTAAAGCAGACATTCCTCCATTCTTTGGAAACATGAAGATCAAGGACTTCTTGGATTGGTTGGTAGAGGTTGAGAGATTCTTTGAAATTATGGATGTATCAAAGGACAAGATGGTTAAGATGGTGGCATTTTGTTTCAAATTTGCAGCAGCAGTATAATGGGATCAATTATAGAATATTCGAAGGAGACAGAGAAAGAGTCTGATTTGAACTTGGAGAAAAATGAAGCAGTCTTTGATGGATCGATTTTTACCTATAGATTATGAACAAATTTTATATCTATGTACCTCGGATGCACACAAGGTAATCATACAATGTTAGACTGCACCAATGAATTTATGTGATTGGTGGAGCGGAATAATCAGTCAGAATCTGAAAATCAGAGGGTAGCAAGTGGTTTGAAGGTGGCCATTCAAGATAGAATTGGGATGCATAATATTTGGACATTACAGGAAGCCATTAACATGGTGATGAAAGTGAAGATGATGGAATTTGATAAGAGGATGGTTTCATATAGGAGGCCCTTACCTACCAAAACATCAACATCTCCCCCTTCAGGCAAAGGAAAGGCCCTGTAACAAGCCCCAGTTAATCCTAACATGAGTAAGGATGACAATAGTGGTAAGTTTGGGAATAGAGTTTAGACTCGAGGCACTCCTTAGTATGCAAATTCGTATGGTAAGCCCACGAGAGAAATTTGCTATAGGTGCCAAAAGCCTGGGCATCGTTCCAATAAATGTCCTGAGAGAAAGCAGGTCAATTTGGTGGAGCTAGAGGTAATAGACGAGGAGGAAGATACTGAAGTGGAAGATGAGTACACGGGATGCTTACCATATCATATTAGGTCGTCCATGGTAGTTTGATGTGGATTCAACTCTCAAATGGTGTGATAATATAGTACTCTTTTCATAGGACAGTCATAAGATCGCTATGGTTCCTCTTACACAAGCGAAGAAGTCTACCCATCAATGAACTAAGAGTTTCCTTACCCTTACTAATAATGAGAAAGAGACTAGAGTCTGTAAAAGAATCTGATTGCTTCTGTTCGGCCATAGTTAAGGGGCTTTTTGTAGCAAATAAGGAAGATGAGGATGTCCCGTCTGAGGTACAAGAAATATTGACAGAAGTTGAAGACTTGGCTTCCGATGAATTACATAATGAGTTATCTCCTATGAGAAATATTCAGTACCAAATTGATTTGGTACCTAGATCTAGCCTTCCAAATTTGTCTTATTCCCGAATGAGTCCAAAGGAAAATGAGGTCCTAAGGAAGCAAATTAAGAAGTTGTTGAGAAAAGGGTTTAAGGGAGAGTATGAGTCCGTGTGCAGTCCCTGTCCTTCTGGTTCTAAAGAATAATAAAAAGTGGCGTATGTGTGTTGACAGTTGTGCCATCAACAAGATAACAGTAAAGTCCAGGTTCCCTATTGCACAGTTAGAGGATATGTTAGATATACTTGGAGGTTCTAAGGTCTTCTCAGAAATAGATCTTCATAGTAGTTATCACTAGATCCGTATTAAGCTCGGGGATGAATGGAAAATTGCCTTCAAGAGTAAGGATGGACTTTACGAATGGTTGGTGATGTCATTCAAACTTTCAAATACACCAAGTACTTTCATGAGAATGATGAACCAAATTCTCCATCCTTTTATTGGGTCTTTCGTTGTGGTTTATTTCGATAATATCCTTATTTGCAATAAGTCTAAGGAGGATCATCAAGTTCACTTGAGGCAAGTTCTAGAGCTTCTAAAGGAAAATTAATTGTACATCAACTTGAACAAGTGCATTTTTTGTACACATAGGCTATTATTTTTAGGCTTTATCATATGTGAAGATGGTCTGCATATAGATAAAAAGAAGACAAAATCGATTCGAGATTGGCAACACCAAAGTCTATTTTTTGAAGTGATTAGTTTTCATGGTTTAGCAACTTTCTACGGATGATTCATCAAGTATTTTAGCACTATTGTCGCACCTCTCACAGAATGTTTGAAGAAATGAAGGTTCAGTTGGGGAGGAGAACAAGATAAAAGCGTCGCCTTCATCAAAGAAAAGTTGTGCATACCTTTGCCAAGCTTTGAGAAGATCTTTAAAGTGGAGTGTGATGCTAGTGGTATTAGTATTGGGGCTGTCCTTTCTAAAGAGAAGAAACCCCTAGCTTTCTTTTCAAAATAGTTAAGTGATGCCAGGCAGAAGTGGAGTACCTACGAGTAAGAATTCTCTACAGTTGTGAGACCTTTGAAGCAATGGGAACACTATTTGACACAGAATGAATTTATGTTGTTCACTGAACACCAAGCCTTGAAATTCATCCATAGTCAGAAACATATCAACATGATGCATGTTCAGTGGGTGACTTTCCTCCTGAAATTTCCTTTTGTGATTAAACATAAATCTAGAAGTACAAACAGAGTTGCAGATACACTGAGTCGGAGAGCTTCCTTATTGATCACATTATTACAGGAAATTGTTGGGTTCGAGCTGTATACGGATGATCCTGACTTTAAGGAAATTTGGATCAAGTGTGTAAATCGAGAATCAATGGTGGACTTTTATATTAGTGATAGATATTTGTTCAAAGGCAACCAAATTTATATTCCTATTTCATCTCTACATGAAAATTTGATTCGAGATCTGCATGGTGGAGGTTTAAGTGGGCACTGGAGCGTGACAAGACAATAACTAGTTTGAAGGCTAGGTATTATTGGCCACAGTTGAAGTAGGATGTTGGAATTAAAGTTAGAAAATATTATAATTGTCAAGAGTCAAAGGGTCAAGTGCAGAATACTAGATTGTACATGCCACTTTCTGTCCCTCAAGGCATATGGCAAGATCTAGCTCTGGATTTTGTTTTGGGATTACCTCGTACTCAACAGGGCATAGATTCTATTTTTGTGATGGTTGACAGGTTCTCCAAAATAGCGCACTTCATAGCTTGTCAGAAAACTTCAGATGCATCAAATATTGCCAAACTGTTTTTTAGGGAGATTGCTAGATTGCATTGAGTTCCCAAGTCTATCACATCATACTAGGATACTAAATTTTTTAGATGCTTTTGGATTACTTTGTGGAAGTTCTTTGAAACCAATTTGAATCGAAGCAACACTGCCCATCCCCAAACTGATGGACAAATCGAGGTTACTAATCGTACCTTTGGAAATATGGTTTGAAGTTTTTGTGGAGATAAACCTAAATAGTGGGATCTTGTACTACCCCGAGTGGATTCGAGTACAACAACGCAGTTCATATTGCTATAGGCAGATCCCCGTTTGCTATTGTGTATACATAGGTGCCTTACTATGTGGTGGATTTGGTGAAATTGCCTAAAGGCGATAATAAAAGTGTTGCTGCTGAACATCTGGCAGAAGAGGTGTTAGCAGTTCATGATGAGGTAAAACAGAAGTTAGAGAAAACTAATGCAAAAGTCTAAGGCAGCAGCAGATTCACATCGACAGAATAAACAATTTTAGGAAATGGATTTGGTGATGGTGTTTTTGAGAATGGAGAGATTTCTCGTTGGTTCTTATAATAAGCTGAAACAAAAAAAATATGGGCCTTTCAAATTGCTTAAATGGATTAACAGCAATACCTACATTATTGATTTGCCGGCTTCTATGGGTATTTCTCGAACGTTCAATGTGGCATATTTATATGAGTTCCATAATGATGATAAGCCTTTGTATCCAGATTATAACTCGGGGTTGAGTTCTTCGAAAGTGGAAGGGACTGATATAAGACATATTGGGAAAAAGTACTAGTAGAAATAGAACATCCTAATTTTGGATTAAACCCATAAGACCATTCTGGAAAGAGAACGATGAGAGGAACAATACTCACCACTACGCTGTGATGTACAATAAATTTCGGCCGTTCGAGTTCATTTAGGACTCGAAAACTGATTTTTAAAGTTTTGGCGCTATTTTGGTCTATTAGGTTTTTTTTTTTTTTTTTTTTTGTTTAAACTTTGTTTTCATTACTTTTAGTCATTTTAAACTACAATTTCATGTAAATCCTTATAAATAAGGGCTTAGTTCTTTTTTTTTTTTTAATCATTCATTAATAAAATTTGTGAAGTTTATTTCCCCTTTAATTTGGTGGATTCCAAATTTCGTAATCTCAAAGTTTTTGCTTGAATTCGTTTTTCTCGCTGCGTCAAATTTGATTTGCTTTTTTGTTCATTGGCAAAAAGAAACACTGTGAAAACTGGGATTTCCTGTTTCATTTCTAAAGAGGACCCATGTGTGTGTTTTTCTTGTTTGTTGACATAAAATGTGAGGGATTTTGGGGACGAAAATGGTGGTAAAGGTGGTGGTAGCTGTGGGTTTGGTGGCGGGTAGCTTTCCCGGCAGTGGATGTGGGGATGGGAGAGGGGGGAAGAAGAAGATGCTTTTTTTTTTCTTCTTTGGTATTCTAATTTAATTATTCGGGACTTATTTGTAATATTTTGAAAAAAATTGGGAGTGTGTTCTTTATTTTTCTTTTCTCTTCATTTTGCTTTAATTAAATAGAAAGGTATATTTGTCATTTTATAATTTTTAATTGAAAAATTAAATAAAAATTGATGAAAATTATGTTTTCCACAATAAAGAGTGGAAATGCGGGTGATAAATATCACATCAATGGATGATTAGACAATCAAAGTTCAAATTGCACCAACTCTATGTTGAAAATTTACTTAAACATACACAGCAGAAATAAACAGTTCAATTCTCACCAGGATTCAGCTCTATATTTAGATAAGAACTATGATAAGAAATATACGTTTTTCTTGATTTTGCAAACTCCTTTGCGTTATCCTTTTCCAACAACTTGAATCTGCCTCCCACGGCTGTCCAATTGTCCAGCCTCCAATGAAATCCATACAAAGAATAGACTGCAACTGCTAGGGTTTTTTTCCTCTTGTGCCAACAAGAATAATGAAAATAATATGGATCTCAAACTCTAGCCATGTATTTATATAAACCCAAACGGGCTCGGTCCGGTCCGGTCCAATATTTAATTAATCCATTTAATTAAACCCGGTCCATGAATTAATTAATTCGGGGATATAAATAACCAATCCAATTAATTAATTTATCCAATCGTTGGATAAAATTAATTAATTGACAATTTGCAATCTTCCAATTCTCTTTTGTGTGCGACCCATCATGTTCCCAACCACGATGCCTAACGACGTGAAATATTATTTTGATCTAATCAAAACTGATAAATTAAACACCCTCTTAATTTATCACAAATTCACACTCGTCGTCTCAGATTGATATCTAGCAATGTATCAGGGCAATACATGTGACGAAAAATGTCACGTGGTATGACAAAACCAAAACTGTTCGTTTACCATGAAATTATAATCTCTTCGTTAATATGATCCAATCAACTTCGAGATATGGAAGTGTGTCAATCTCGATTATCAATCATATCTTTTATTCTACTATTAAGTCAATATGAGTCGAAAACTCATTTTCGACTTATAGTATACATTGGCCAAGGATTTTGTTATTGACTTAATTGAATGAAATGCAGATCACAATCTCTTACTATCTAAGAGTGACGAATCCTCTATTGATCATTCACAACCTTCATATGGTTCTTAACATACTCGAACAATGTCGTATTAGCAGGCCTTGGCAAAGCAACATCCAACACCGTCAAAACATGACTGTCCTCATACAAGGCACTATGATGACCTCAAGTCATAGGACCAATTCCACTACCGAATATTGGAGATTAACCACTGACACTCACATAGTTATCCATGTGGAATCTCTTAGAGGGTCTCCAATGTTTTGTTCTATAACAAAACATCCACCTATTCATTTAAGTGTCACCACACTTTAACTCGTGAGATCAACTACTTACTTCACAAGTAAGAAATGCCACACGTGATGGTCTATCTGTATTAACGATATCTGAATCTCTTTATTACTTACGAACATGGTTTGTTCAAGATCCAATTATACGTATTTTGTATCTCACAATCACAGCTCATTGTGATTAACAAATCACTTAAACTTGGATCTTCGGACTCTATTATTTAATATTATTTATCACAAAATTAATTTAAATAAATAATAAATCTTACCAAAATTAAATTCATTTAACATATTAAAAGTGTTTATAACCTAAATCAATTGGATCTAGGGCATAACACTTACAAACTTCCACTTGCACTAGATCCAATCACTCATGTATCTAATAACATAAGCGTCCACATGACGATCATGTTTCTGTTGTGACAACGGCTTTGTCAGTGGATCAACAATATTGTCATTTGTGGGAACTCGCTCTATCGTTACGTCATTTCTTTGTATAATCTCTCTAATGAGATGATATCGCCTTAGTACATGTTTGGATCATTGATGAGACCTCGATTCCTTTGCTTGTGCAATGGCTCTATTGTTATCACAATATAAAGGTATGGGATCAACACTGCTAGGAATGACTCCAAGTTCATTAATGAACTTCTTGATCCAGACAGCTTCCTTCGCTGCTTCAGAATCAGCAATGTACTCGGCTATCTAGTATTTCTCATCAGGGTTTGCTTGAAACCTGCTCGTAACACTTAGAGCATATGAAACATCTGGTTTCATACATAGCATCGCATACATGATAGATCCTATCATCGAAGCATAAGGAATCTTATCCATGCGACTACTTTCATCATGTGTTTTAGGACACATATCTTTTGAGAGGTAAATCCCATGGGACATAAACCTCTTTTAGACTCTTTCATATTAAATCTTCTCAAGATTTTATCTATGTACGAAGATTGGGATAAACTTAGTAATCTTTTAGATCTATCTCTATAGATCTTGATTCCCAAGATATACGCTACCTCTCCCATATTTTTCATGGAAAAATTCTTTAACAACCATAATTTTACCGATTGAAGCATTGGGATGTCATTTCCCATTAATAATATGTCATCGACATATAATATTAGGAATACGATCGCGCTCCCACTTGTCTTTTTATAAACACACGGTTCATCTTCATTTTTGATAAAATCAAACTTTTTGATTGTCTCATCAAAACGAAGATTCCAGCTCCTAAAGGCTTGCTTTAATCCATAAATGGATCGATTTAGCTTACATACTTTATTGGCTCCTTTGGATTCAAAACCTTCAGGTTGTATCATATACACCTCCTCTTGTAAATTTCCATTAATGAAAGCAGTTGTGACATCCATTTGTCATATCTCATAATTATGGTATGCAGCTATTGCAAGCAAAATTCGAATCGACTTCAGCATGGCTACAAGTGAAAAAGTTTCATCAAAGTCAACGCCTTGTCTTTGTGTGTAACCCTTCACTACTAGCCTTGCTTTGTATGTATGGACGTTTCCATCCACGTCGACCTTTTTCTTATAAACCCATTTACAACCTATCGGTTTTATCCCACCTGGAAGGTCGAACAAGGTCCAAACCTTGTTCTCATACATTGAGTTCATTTCGAATTCCATGGCTTCTTGCCATCTCTTCGAGTCAACACTTGACTTTGCTTCTGCGTAATTTATAGGTTCATCATCCTCGACTAATAATACTTGATTAGTAATCATGAATTCGTACCTTCTGGGAGGTCGAATGATCCTACTTGATTTATGCTGAGCTGGAGTGTCCTCAAGGTTCTCTATATCTTGATCAAGAGTGTGTTAGGGTCATCTAATTGGTCAACAGTATCTGTGAATTCTTGAACTTCTTCTAGTTTGAGTTTGCTCCCACTACCCTCTCCTAGAATAAACTCTTTCTCTAGAAATATGACATGTCTTAAGATGAACACCTTCTTCTCAACGAAATTATAGAACTGATATCCAATTGTCTCTTTTGGATATCCCACAAATACGCATTTATCAGACTTAGCCTCAAGCTTATCTGATTCATTTCGCTTTACATAAGCGTCACAGCCCCAAACTTTCATGTGAGATAAGTTTGGTATTTTTCCTCTCCATAACTCGTATAGAGTTTTGTCGACCGATTTAGATGGGACACATTAAGTGTGTAACACGCAGCAATTAGTGCATGACCCCAAAATGATTTTGGGATGTTTGCATGACTCATTATTGATCGCACCATGTCTAACAAAGTACGATTCCTCCATTCAAATACACCATTATGTTGCGGTGTATATGGCGGAGTCTACTGCAAGGGAATCTCATTCTCTTTTAGATAATCTAAAAATTCTCCCTTTAAATGTTCTCCACCTCGATCTGATCTCAGCGTGAGAATATTTTTACCAGTCTGTTTCTTTACTTCAAGTTTGAATTCCTTGAATTTTTCAAGTGCTTCATGCTTGAATTTCATCAGATACACATAACCATATCTAGAATGATCATCAATGAATGTGATGAAGTAAGAGAAACCACCTCTGGCAGTTATTGACATGGGTCCACATACATTAGTACGTATTAGTCCCAGCAGTTCTGTGGTTCTTTCTCCTTTTCCAGTAAAAGGGAACTTGATCATTTTGCCTAACAGGCACGACTCGTATTTGTCAAATGATTCAAAATCAGTTGACCCCAAGTATCCATCTTTATGTAACTTGAAAATGCGTTTGTCGTTAATATGACCCAGTCTGCAATGCCAGAGGTATGTATAATTTAGATTATCACTTTTATGCCTTTTATTTTCTATATTCATATTAGACGACTCAGTATCAAGAATATAAATTCCATTTTGCAACACACCACAACCATAAAAGATCTCATCTTTATAAAATGAACAACGATTGTTCTTAACATTAATTGAAAAACCATTCATGT